CCAGTTTGGGCTTATGGGATTTCAAGTATAATTGGAAAATCCCATTTGTCCGGGTTTGTCCATGGAAAAATCCCAAACGTTTGTGCGGCATGTATAGTCAAGATCAATAATTTTGATAATACACTACCCCAGATTTTTTAAAAGTAGATACAATAATCTTTTATGAAACTTCAACTGATAAACGCGTTGAAGTTGAGCAATTGTGTGTATAACCTACCTGAAAAAAATGATATTTTGATCATATACTTGAGCCGAAACCTGTGTATGTCATAGGACCCAGCTTTAACATATTTTCCTTTCCTTTCATTACCTGTTGGGCAACGAGTCATTTAGAACCATCTACAGTAACTCGCAAAAATGAATTTATTGTGAGAAGTCAAATGATTGGATTGATGGATAGAAATGATACATCAAAAGACAGTGTTACTAAGAGAAGATTTGAAAGGAATAATAATGATGGTAGAAGTTATGCTCGCAGTGGCAAAAGTAATGACAACAGCGGCAATGATAATTATAGTGATGATTATAGGGGTGAGAGTAGTGATGTGGATGGCAATGATGGCAGTAAAAAGTCACCAAAGTTTTTTCTATGACAGAGCCAGATATGAAGATTAAAAAATTACTGTATGTTCAAAGAATGTACTTTCTATATTGAGTTTTACGCAAAATTTTAATGAAGTTCACAATGAATACTATTAACGTTGATGTAGCGAATGTGAAACAGATCGTATACTTAGAGTAATGCTTAGCGGCAGTTGAGTCAACTTGTAAATGAAGATTACGTTTTTCTTAAAATTGAGATTATTCCGATTGCGAATGTGCCTGATAACAGAACTACTTTGGTTTCAGAGGAGAAAATTAGTTCTATTTGAATGTTTAAATAATTTCGAAAAATAAGCTTGTGCAGAAATCAGTAAAGTACCAAAGGCAAGAGTCCAGGTCAAACATTAGTAGTACTAAAACTACATCAAATGAATGAGAATTACAAGTGGCGAGTACTGGTTTACTGGATATAGGAAAAAGAATCCGATATACCAAAATTTAATTAAGCTGGGCTTCATAAGTGTGAAGGAATGATTGTAAGTGAAAAAAATGGGTGGATTTCATACTGTTTCATAGTTCCTCAAACATTACGCTTCAAGCTTGTGGGTATCTTGCATGGCAATCCAAATTTTACAAGATCAAAGCTGATGAAATGCCCAAGTAGCTCTTACTCTTGCAAATTGACTTTAAAGATTTAACTAAAAATTCGAAAACTTAATCGTTATTGTAAGATTTAAATTAAATTGGCTCTAAAAGCACTTAAGTTGAAACTTCGAGCCCTGTTATCGAATTGTGATGTATGTCCTATCGTATGATAATCACGATTAAAGGAGTTTCATTTTAATAATGCACGGATATACTATAAGTTATATATATATATATATATATTAACAAATGAAAAAAAAATACAATAACCTAAAATATACTATATAAACTAGAAATACATATAGTGGTTGGTATTGGTTTCATCATTTCCGTGCTTTGCCACACGTTTGAACCTCGCGTGTATTTATTGTCACTAATCTAACGTACTGTACGTACGTACGTATTAGAATTCATTTTTGTTGCTTTTCTTGTATGGCGATTTGATGAACAATAAGTTATCCTAAAGAAAGATGGATTTGCATAAAAGTGATAATCAAGAAAATTCGAATTAAAATTAATCTCTCCATCACCATGTGTAGATCAAGGTTAATTAAATTTAATATTAATATTAAACGACATAATGCCGGTTACGAGATATTATACAAACAAAAATTTTATTTTTAAATTCAAGAATTTATAATGTTATTCAACATACTTTACCATTTCAAAAATTCTTTAGTCAAAAGACCTTTTTTTCACTCCAAAAAATTTAATTCAATTTTTACTCGACCTATATCAATAACTTTAAATACAACCCACTCCTCAGCAAAAGACGCAATTGATGCTTTAATCGACAAAACACCCGGCCCTTGTGAAGTTTGTATATTATTAGTTTCCCGAACTTACTCTCCCAAAGAATTAGAACTATTTCCTAGTTATCTCTTCACTAAATTACGCCCTAGAGTTCTTGTTGGTTGTGTAGTCGACAAAGTTTATACATCTTCAGATTCCATTGAGTTTGGTCATGGCATTTCTTTGTTTTTAGGCGGATTGGGTAAAAAGGAAAATAATTGGAGATTCGATGAATTTTGTGATAACGTGCAAGGTTCAAGACGAGAATATAAAACCAATTCTGTTGGGCGATGGTCTACACTAAATACAGAAATGAAAAGTAATATGTTAGAAATAAATGAATATAACCTTAATAAATTTCAGTCCATATCCACTATACCACATGAGTTTGAATTACCCGACGAGTTAAAAGTTCTCAAGGAAAAAAATATCTGGTTTGTTTATTTATTAGATATTTTTTTGATTGATACAATTAAACTAATTATGAATTTTATGTAAAGTCCGGATTTATTTTTCTTGATTTCGGATGCTGAACCATACCAATTTTTAGAATCTTTGGATCATCATTTTCCTCAAAGTAAAAAGGTTTGATAACTATCCTTGATATTTATTCCTTGATTCTTTTTCACTTAATAAAATTATTGTAGCATTCATTTTAATCAACTTCACTCTGAACTGTAGCTAGGAATAATTGGGTAGTTATGTAACTCATTTATATAAATTGTATAAATATATTGAAACCAATCCTTCTATTAATTATTTATGTTTGAATAATCACGAAAAGATCATCCACGCCATTTATAACAGGTCGTCCATTTAGTCTTTTCAAAAATAATAACACTTTATCAAGAGGTATTGTTGGTCTAGCATTTACATCAATGACCTCAACATCCACAATAAAAAAACAAATTCAAGTTGACCATCAAGCATTGTGTTCAATTGGAGAACCATTAAAAATTACAAAGTATTTTTATTCCTTCATTTGCATTCATTCTTTATAATCTCTCAATTTAATCACTCAATTTATTTAAAAAAGTTGTCAAGGAAACATTATCATAGAATTAGATAGCTTAAATCCTACAGAACTACTGTTAAAGAGATTCCAATCTGAAAATATTGGTCAGGCATTATCTAAAGAAACAGAATATTATTTAGGTATATATGATGTCGAAAATAAACTTGATGTATGTATTATACTAATAAATAATGATTTTAAAGAGATAAAATTATCTTGTTTAATGAATTTTTTGGAACTATGATTTTTATTGATTTATTAAATAGGAATCACTACTAATGGTTAACAAAATCTTGAGTGGAGATCCAGTACGTGGTAATATGGCCATTGATACTACTAAAAACTTGAAGAATGGACAGTTCGTCAAGGTTCATTAAATCATTAAAAAATTGAAATATTATATTGATAAAGATTTGAAAAATATAATAAAAACTTAATATTTTTTATTCAATTGTCATAATAAAATAGTTTATGTACAGAAAAGATTATTCGAAATTCGAATCAATTCCAAAGATTTCTAATAATAATGGTAATTATATTTTCGTTCGATGGCTACTAATGAATAAATATTTGCATTATTTCAATATAACTCAACTTATTTAGCGTTTATTCTTCTAATAATAAAAGGTATAAATCTAGCGCTAGCGATATCAGATAAAGAGGAGATGGACATTTCTGCTTCTTCACCAACCTTGAACAGAACATTTACAGAAAAAAATATTTTTGGTGGAATCAGTGAAAATGGAATAATTGTTGGAAAAGGTGCTATAAGTGAAAATCAAATTGGTACTTCTTGGGTGTGTAATGTACCTTATTCTTCTGCTAGTTTGTTACTTTAAGATATTCCATGTAGATATGATTTAATTTTACCACTTAGTAAAGTACTACAAATTTGAAAAATACGCGAATTATTTGATATCACATATCTGTGTTACCAATTGAGAAGATGTTAAAGTTGATTTTGGAAGATAGTAACTTAACTAAACATACAATTTTTTTAAGATGTTATATGTGAGTGGGACATTACATTGAAATTATTGAAATTATTGAAATTGTTTGAGGTTAAGAATTTAATTTTCAGATTAGATAAATATAACTGGTAACGATAATGGTTAAAATGAAATAGATAAATAATACTAATACTTCTATTCAGAGAAAAGTGATATCTATATTTATAATCATATGAAATAATCCTTAATTTCATTTTAAGATTTAATTTCATTTTAAAATTTAATTTCATTTTAAGATTTAATTTCATTTTAAGATGATTTGAAGGATGTTCTCTGTATATGAACGTTAAGAGAATACTTTATAGACTTGTCGCGTTAAAATATATTTAAGTTTACGCGAATTAACAATATAACTGATAAGTTGTTACATAATTTAATGTAAATGACGCCAAATAATTTTCGACATTAGACATAGACATAGTTAACAAACTCTTAAAATTTAACTTTTAACAAGTGATCCTTTTAGGTGGTTAGAATTAGAGTAAGCGCTAGAACTATTCTTTTTGAAATTATGATAAGAGTAGTATACCGGGTGGGTGAAAAGTGACCCTTTTACTACGTATCTCCGCTAAGATTATATGTACTTAATTTTATACATAAAAATATTGCAATGATTACTAATTATAAACGTTAAAATGATATTCGATTTAAAAAAAGGGCCCTTTTTAGAGACTTTTCACCCACCCAGTATAATAACCTTCTTTTAACTATATATTGCATATTTGCTACGTATTATACATACCGGGTGTCCTATACACGGACCCTTTTTTTTTAAAGAGTTGCATAAATAATCATCGTAATCTCAGTATATAAGGTCACTTTAAAAAAAAAGGCCCATGTATAGGAACTTTTGGGACACCCGGTATGTTTAAGTATAAAAAATATTTAAATAAACCTTATTTCAGTATTTCACTTGTTAGCCCAGTAATACAAGCTTAGAACCGAAGCAAATCCAAAGTACTCAAAACCAAAATGAGTTAGTCACCTATCGAATACCGATTGAATGAAAAACCAAATACAGAAATACGTACTGAAAAATAAAACTTTTTCCTCCATTAAAGATTATGCATTTTCGCAACAAGACATGAGATAAAATGGTATGTTTTAACGAGTAGGCAATATAAAAGCTTTATTTTTTGATATAACATTATTTGAAAGCTATGTTATACAATAATTTTGAATTTTGAGAAGGATGGGAATTTTAACGAATTAAGTTTTTCTCGAGATTCGAATCGAATGAGTGAATCTTAATATATATACACGTATTTTTTTTCCTTTATAAATTTCTTTTTGTCGGTTCTTTTACTGTGCCTGAAAATTAAAATTTTCTGGTCTTGGTTCGTTGACCCACTCAGACTATTCAGACTATGATATCAATATGTTTTGTTGCAAAATTCATTATTAAAGTATATTATAGTTTACTTATTTTACGTATACAGTATTAAGTTCCAATTTGGCATCAAATTTTGTAGCACATACAGTTTGATTACGTCCAAGTTTCCGTTTTCTAATTAGCCCCTCAGTGTTCATTATAAAGAGGTTCATTATAGAGAGAATTAGTTGACTGCACTACAGTATTTCTTTTCAAAAAGGTTATATTAACGAACTGTTATAATGGCGAGTTTTTACGTCAATATCTGTACGTACGCATTAATTACGTTACGCAGAAATGTGATCACCTTACAATATCGATATAAATCAGGTTAGCAACTATTTTACCTCTAAAACAAAACTTTATCTCCAAAATATAAAAACCATGTTCGATTTATTAATGACATTTTTTAGCTTCTGGCTAATAGTTCATACAATTGTTCTTTTCATACAGCAGAAATTACAATCAAAAGTATAGTATACTTTCTTAAAAATTGATTATCGAAATCATCCATTTTTTATATAAAAATATTTTATTTATAGCAAACATTACCGAATCCTCGAATATCATCAAGCCTTCCTTTATCAAGATTACAAAGTCATTCTCCGATATTTCACATATCAAACAATCCTTTTAATATAAGATTTTCAACTAATATTTTAAATAATGTTTTTGGATCAATTGTTAAACGATTACCAAAATTTTGGAAAATATGGTTTACTATTGGTGTGATAGTGGGAATTATAACTTTCTTATTTGGTATTGGCACCATGATTGTAGCTAGTTGGAAACTTTTAATAGCGATATTTGATTTACTTGGATCAAGTTGGTCTGCCGAGACGCAAATTGTATCACCAGATATAGTAAAAAGGAGCTTTGAAGATAGTAATGTTCAACATTATATCAATGAAAAAGATCATCAAGTATTTATTCCTGTGGTAAGTAAAGAAAAAAATATTTATTTATTTATTTTAAGATTATAGTTAAGCTTAATATAATATATATTTAGATTCCTGGTATTACTTTACCAATTTCACATTTTTGGTATTATCTTTTGGCGCTTTTGATATGTGGAGTAATCCATGAGGCCGGTCATGCTCTTGCTGCCGCAAAGTATAACAAATTATATATATTTAATTATAATGGTTAACTTTGTTATATATTAACTTTCTCTCTATTTATTTTAAAGGGAACGTATTGAGATTAAATCGACGGGAATATTTCTATATATCCTTTATCCTGGAGCTTTTGTAGAATTTGATTTACATGAATTAAAAGAACTTTCAGCCCTTAGACAACTTCGCATAATATGCGCAGGAGTGTGGCATAATGCTGTCTTATTTCTTTTGGGTACATTATTACTTAACACTGGGTTGTTAACAATGTTTATGGGTAACACTGCTTGGAGGCTAGTGGATGGTCTCGGAGTTAGTGTCGTTTCTGTTGAAAGTGTATGTTATAATAGTTATATATTTATATATTCATATATTTATATATTTATTTTATTTAATTGTATAAAAATACCACAGTTTCTTATTATATATTTTATTTGTTAGGATACTGCATTGTCTACTTATTTAAAACCTTCAATGTTAATAACGAAATTAGATGATTTCGACTTGTCAGGATCATCATTAGATAGTTGGAATGATTATCTTTTACAAAATGAAAAACTATATATTGACTCTTTAGGATTTTGTGCTTCAAAAAAGGATTCAGCGTCATTAGATTGTTGTGATATTTCTATTGACCATCCTTATGGAAATGCAAAAGATAATATGACTTCATGTTTCAAGAGAATTGATGAGAACAATGAACATAAACAGGTTTGATTTTCACCTTTTCTTAATTTTCTTAATAAAATTTTATCAGAATAATATTTTCTAATAAAAGTATGTGTTTTCAAGGAATTATCATGTTTACCCACAATACCAATACTTGTAAATATTGACGCACAACGTTGCCTTAATGATGCTGATTGTTCATCTGCTTCGTCAATGTGTGTTTTACCATATACACCCAAAGGTTATCCGAAACCTTTAAGAATATATTTTAAGGACGCACCATGGGTTCAAGAAAATGATGATCAAGAGAAACTCGTATTATATTTTGGTGAACTCGTTGATGTATGGGAAATTGGTGAGTTTTCACAATCATAATTGGCAGAGAAATTTTGTGAACCTTTATATTAGTGTTTTTAGTGTTTGTAGTCGACCTAAACTTATCGACTTGACCTAAGTCGAAATTTAAAAAATCGGCTTAGCTGACTATGCAAACTCAATTGCTTTTACTATACTATCCCGAATTTTCCCGAAAACCTACTAAAATTTTAGTTTTCCTAAATCACCTGACAATTCCTATATACATAACCAAGAATCGACTGAGTCAAATTTTTAAAAAATCGACCGACTTTAGTCGGCTAAGTCGATTTTATCGACTAATGCCTAGGGTTGTTAAATGGAGTACTCCAAACTATAATAAAACATATAAACTACTCCATTAACAACCCTACTAATGCCAAATCGACTACAATCACTACTTTATATACAGATAATTTTCACACACACATACATATTAAAATTAGTACAAGTTAGTATCCTTCAACCCATATGGTCATGGGTACCGATATGGATTCCAATATCTATTGAATTGACTTTACGGT